CTTTACGATGACGTCTGGAAACACCATTGCAACTTATTAATCACCAAAGAGCATTCAATAGGCATTACTAAACAAGACAAGCGTAAACAAAGTGCCAGTTCACCCCTGCCTCACAGACAAACATCAAGCCTCTCTTTTAACTGGGAGACTTGGATACATCTAGCGAACAAATTTGATTACGCGTTCTTGGATTTTTAGATAGGCACTGACGTCTTCTTTATCTTTCCTTGCTGATGTCAATTTTCATTAAGTATGCATTTAGTGGAGTTGATGGAGGGGAAAGATGATGATAGGTCGATTCAAACGGGTTTGTAATATAACTACGAGAAATAGCTAGTACTTAATATAGATTTATTTTCGATTTACTTTGTATTTCCTTATATATAAATTTAATAAAATTACTGGCAGTACTACATCGTTAAAAAAAAAAAATTTATTAGTAGATATATTTTTATTTATATTTAATATATTAATATTTTATATATACAGTAAATAATTTATTGTCTAATTGATAAATTTATATTATATTAGTATATTATACTTATAATGAAAATTTTTAACTAATTAAAAATTTATTTATATTTCTAAAAATGATATATCAGTATATTATAAAAAACTGATAAAATTTTTATAAATCATTTATTTGATTATTTAAGAAAATTGTTTTTAAAAAATACTCTATATTGGAAAAATCTTTAAATATAATTATTTCATTATTGCAAATAAATTTAAGACTAAATTAAAAGAAAATAATTCTAAACTCAAGGTCAATAAATAATATATATATTATAAACTTAAAATTTCAATTATATGATAATAATACAATTATATTACACAATCACAATTTGGTCTTTCAATAAGACAATAACCTAAAATATATTTTACAAAATATTCAGCATAATTTGAAAGAATATCTTCTAAAAAGAGTTCTTTCTTAGTTTTTATACAGTTTAAATTTAAATCTTATTAAAAATGTATAAACTATATTAAAGAGAAAAAATTAAGAATTTGATGAAAAAATTATTTGTGATATTTTTCTTAATTTGTAATATCTAGTTATAGCAAAATTTTTAAGATGTTAAATTTATAAAATATATATTAATATATAAAATTTTGAAAATTAAATTATAAATTTTCATAAATTATATGATTTATATTTTTATATTTATTCAAAATTAACAAATTATATAAATTATTTAAGAATTGATTAAAAAATAATATAATGTTTTTATATTTTTTAATTGCATATTCTATTTGTTTTATTTTTTTTACATGTAATAGCTTTGCATAATCTTTATTATAAATATTTTATTTGTTTTACATTAAGTTCTTTTTATAAACATCTATATATACTTATCACTTTTTTCAAAATAATTATTTTAGTATTAGATTCTTATTTAGACTTTTAATTATTATTAATATTAAATAATATTTGTATATAATCAAAACTCAATATAACAAATTTAATGTTTAGACTAATTAGACCTTTATTATAAGAAATTTATTATTATTATAATAAATTATTCAGTATATATAACAAATACTTTATTATAATAAAACATTATTCAATCAGATTAATTAAAATAATTTATATGATAAGTTAAAAAATTTTGCTTTATTTCTTTTTTATTTTTATTCTTTTTTTATTCTCTTCTCTTTTTCCTTTTTTGATTTTTTTTTAATTATTTTTTTTTATTTTTTCGATCTTTTTTACTTTATTTTTATTTTATTTTATATATTTTTATTTTCCCTTTCCTCTATCTTCCCTTTTTTTTAATTTTTTTTTATACTTTTTTTTTACTCCTCCTATTCTTATATATATATATATATATATTTAATTTTGTTTTAATTTTTTATTCCCTTCCTATTCTTATATATATTTTTTTTTTAATTTTTTTATTTACTCTTCTTTTTCTTCATTTATATTTTTTATTTTTTTTTAATTTTTTAAATTTTTTTTTAATTTGATTTATTTTTATTCAGATTTTCAATTGCATTAAATACTGCATCAATTAATAAGTAGTTTTTTATCTATTTATTTTTTTATTTTTTTTTATTTTTTTATTTTTTTAATTTTGTTTTTTTTATTTTTTTTTCTTATATTTTATTTATATATATTTTTTTTTGTTTTTTTTTTGTTTATTTAATTTTTCAATAGTATGAACTTTTTACTTTGTTTATATTATTTTTTATATATATATATATATTTTTTTTTTTGCTTTTTTTAAATTTTAATTTTTTCTTTTTTTTTTAAAAAAATTTATAGGTTAAAAATTAGACTTATACATTAAAGATTAGATTTATATATAAAATTTAAGTTTAAAGCTAACCTCTGGTATATAAAATACTTTCTATAAGTATACTGCTTAAGTAACTAAAGATAATAAACATAAGAAGTAAAGTGATAATGAATACACATTTAATATAATAAGTATAAACAAATAAAGTCCTTTAAATAATGCTAATAAATATAAATTCTTAAGAAGAGAATAATGATATAAATATAAGTAAAATCTTTAAGATGAAGCAAATATAAATGCTATATTCCTAAATTCTATGTTACCTTTTTCTATTATACTATTATAAAAGATAAATATGAAATCAATATTGTAAAATGTTTGAAGAAAATAAAATAGGCATACAAAAATTTAATCTTAAAAGTTAATCTTTAAAATCTAATCTAATAAAAGGAAAGTAATATTGCATTACTTTTAAATTAATTATCAAAGTTATAATAAAATAAAAATAAAAATAAAAAAATAATAGATGATTCAGATAATTTGGCAGTAATACTATCTTTACAAGTCATTTAACCTTATTTTTATCCTATATTTATAAAAGAAATTGATTTTAGAATATTTTCTATATAATAAAAAATAGTGATATACTAAAATTAATTTAATAATTCTTAAATCATAAATTTGTTAACTAATTTCTGTCTTTTTGAGGTTAGACTTATCAGATTTTTATTTATATCAATAAATCACTTTTTTAATTAATTCTAGGATATCATAAAAATATAGTATACTTTTTAGGCTTAAAAGAATATATCTATTTATTAAGTCTGCTAAGCACTAATTCATATAGTAATAGTTTTATTTTCACTATTTAGTGAAATTAGTTGTTATTTATTCCAACATTTATCATTCCTAAATTTTTACTTTTTATATTAGTTTCATAGTAAAAACCCTTTATCATATCTTTTCAAATCAATTCTATCTAAAATCTAAAAATATCAACTGATATAATAGCATATATATAATTTAAAGAATAATTATTTGCATCTTTAATTCTATTAAACATATCTAAAAATTATTCTTAAATTATAGAATGATATTTACAAATATTTAGCTTAAGCTTGTTTTTAATCAAATTTCTAATATATAAAAGTGTTGATTATTAAAAATTATTCTGTTTATATCTTACTAGAAGAACCAGAAGAAATTTATTGGTTGAATTAGTTTCAGATTTATTAGACACACTTTATTGATTAAATCAGATCTTTGAACTGCTATATAATGTTAATTTATTTTATTTAGAGAACTTTGATAATAACATTAATTAAAATAAATCTGGACGTAACAGATTTCTTTAGGAAATCATTTTGATAGGCTTCTTTGATGTTATTAAGTTTTGAAAAGATTTTCTGTGCTTCTATAGCATAGCCTGTATCATCTGTTTTAAATTTTTCAATTTCTGCGATGAGTTTATTAAGTTCAGCATTAATTTTTCTGAGTTCTGCAGCATTAATTTTGGATAAACTTGTGAAAATTTTATTAGTGATCTTAGTATCATATGCAGAGAATTCATTTTATTAATTTTATTCTTAATTTTAGTGATCTCCGTACTAATATGTTTTAATTTCTGCAGTGAGTATCAGAGATTTTTTTTGTTTATGATAACGATCCACATGATTATCACAAAGAAAAAACAGCAGATAAGGCTAAAAATGGCATGCTTCCCAAAGAGTTAAACAAATTAAACTGGACATGATTAGATAAAGCGATGATGTATAGTAAATTTATTGAGAAGTGAGCTGAGCTTATTGGTGGATCAATAGTAGATTTGACAGAAATTTTTTAATAGTAGTAATTATCTTGCGCAAATGCACCGAAAAAAAGATTCTTTTATATTTTATTCCTACTACACGTGAAAATGAGAATTTAATCAGATTAAATAAAATAATATAAAAAATTACGTTACTTTATTTTTCATAATTACATTTTTTTTATCTAAGCAATTATAACATCCTAGTTCCCGTCTAGTAATAACAAATGTCTCTCTCTGAATTTGAGGTGCATTTAATATTAATGGAGTAATATCGATATTTCAAAATTTACCATTTATTTCTAAGATCAATTGCAAAACAAAAAACTGCATGGGGGTGAATATCATGAATCTTTGTTTGGGTTTCCCAATACCCCTAATTAGGAAGTTCGTTTTATAGAATGGATGTTATTGCCCTACTTCCTATTTCAATTGTAATCACAAAAAAAAAAGGAATAAAAATCGGAATATTTGTTCATCATAGATCGAGATCTATATAGATGACGAATCGCACATGTACCACTAATTCCTATAATTCCTATTCAAAAACGGATTAATGTGTGATTAGCCTATATACGTAATTTGAATGCGCTATTATCAATAAGGTGACCGTTTCAACTGAGGATTTGTAAATCATAAATTCAAATCACTCAACTTCCATTTTTATTTTATTTTAACGACACCCTGTTTTACAATCTGCTTTTGCTTACTAGGTTCAAAAGAACAGTTAGCCTTATCTTTTGAAGCATTGGAACTTTCGAGTAAAAAATGTAAAAAATACATGACATACTCTTGGGCAGATCGTAATTAAATGACTGCGGTTATCATGATAGAATGGCGTAGTCAAATCACATGCCAGCAAAATATACTGCGGATTTCAATGACTACGTGCATGTCTCTCGATGATAGAAATTAGCATATTTACAAATTTGATTTATTTTATATAGCGAGATCTATTCCAACAGAATGTTTTCTTGTGTTATGTCCAATAGCATTAGCTTTTCAAGATTCTAAACAATGACAAAGTGTGTCAATTAATAAAACTCTAAATTATTTATTTTTTTTCTTTCGGCTTTTCTTTGGCGAAATAGTTACTGGATCAGTATTATGTTCATTATCATAAGATTCTTCTTCATTCGCTATATAAGATATGATATCTTTGGCAGATGAAGAAATGATATTCTAATAATATTCAAATTATTAGTTATATCTGTTACAATAACATTCTCTATAATTCAAATACTTACACGTAATCTCCATAGATTTCCTAAGAATTTCGGTAAAGTGTTAAAAGCAAGTAAGGTGATGATGGGATAGTCGAACACAAATTCTTCCTTGAAGTAATATACACCAGAGTATGGTAATGATAAACTGTATATGTAAAAAGAATTACCTATACATAATAGAAAACATGTAAGTGATATGACAATTTAAATGATCTGTCCTAGCTAGTTTATAGAAACTTACGGTAAACTTGTAAGCCATACACTTTGATTTTGCGAAATTGTTTAAAATCCCCACGATATGTATTATAACAGTAATTTAAAATGACCTTTAAATTTTTTGCAATCTTATTGCGGTCCCCAACATAATGGCTATGATCTGGATTAGTTGGAGGTCCTGAAACTTCCACAACAGAAAATTCAAGGTTTAAATCACCCAATTTTATAATGGTATCAATTTTGCTACTAATGTTAGTCGTTTATCATCTCTTTGAGATTTATTTAATAAAATCGCTGAACATTTTAATGCTTTTTCGCCCCTGTATTAAAACATAAATAATTTTAATAAAAAAAGAACAAATAATAAATTAACCATACTGAAATTTACCAATCGAAACCTAAATATCCAAGATCTTTAAATAGAATTTTGAAGGTCGGTGAAAGTTTGTTCGTCCTTAAAAGAATTTTTTCCATTAACAAATTGATCACGACTGTGAAAATTGTCAATATTAAAATATTAACACAAATTCAATAGTAGTGTAAAAAAATACCAATACACTTACTAAACCTTCAATATATTTAGGACTTGTCTTTTCAAACGTTTAGAATTATCATTTGTCCTTAAAATGGACCGATTTGACTTAATTGCAAATTTCAGTTTTTCAATAGAAGTCTAATAATAAAAAATTAGTATTCAATAAAAACTGTGTTCATTGTTAAAATAACTCCTACTTACCACATTTTTCAAAACATTATTGCCGTAATTGTTAATCTCATCATCACAATTCGTTATGGAATATGAAGTTACAGTTTCCATATCATCAATTAATGTACTCCAAATATCACCGAAAATATTTCTGTCCCCTGTTGCTGAAGTACTGATCGTATCGATTATATTGTAACGTAACAAACTGTGAAATAAACTTACTGATAAGCATATTACTTTTAAGAAGATAATATTGAAAGAGGTCATCGATAAACATACTCTTGCTTATGTATTTCATAAATATGTTCAGAATTTTTGCGCCATTCTTCTATTCTTAAGCGGACATTTATGTTGTCCACAATAAGAATATTATCTTGTATTTCATCTACAATTTCTTCGTAATTGTCGTAAAAGTCATTCTCTTCAAGGGTTTCCGACTTTCTCTTACGTGTTACGGCATCATCTTGTTTGTGCTATATACATGAAGAATGTTACCGAAATGAGGAGCGTAAGGATAATCAAGGCTTCAACTTTAGGAAATAAAAAAAAATACCTGGTCTATAGCTACTTCATCTGAGATAAGTAGTGAGGATGTTTTGTTCGCTTGATCGGGTACTGAATTAAATTGTAGATGATGTCTTTTAGCGTCAACTACTTGATTCTTTAGCTATAGGAGTTGAAATGACGCAAATCAGCGAATAAGAATGAATAATAATTAAGTCAAAATTAAAATTTTAAAGACCTGAATACAGCGCAATTCGGCCACAAAAATTTTCTCAGCAGTCACAACTTCAACTTCCCACCAAAACTCTTCCAACTGTCCTTTTCGTAATTCCTATAAAAGACAATATATTTCAGTGGTAAGCCATAATAGGTAGAATATATAAATAAATATCAACACACCATTGCTTCATCTTTTCTCCTTTTGGCCAAGGTTTTAATTTCTATATCTGCATCTTGAGATAATGCCAAGGTGCTTGTATAGTGATCCCATGCAAGCCTTTCATCATCTTTTATGTATTTAAAATGTATAACAAACTTGAAGAAATCAATGTTTTGAAGATTTATTCGAACGAACTCGAAGATAGACATGTTAGACATATTGGTAAAGACGCGATTTTCGCGACAATAATATAATGTTGATCATCATGTGACTTCCATATTAATTCACTTGACATATCATGTGTCATTGGTTTGTTTTCGTCAGTATTCAACGTTATTACGAAGGTAGTGGATTCTGCCTTTGCATGGCCAGCAATACGCCAGAAAGCTTATGTAATTTGGTTGTATTGTCAAGGATAGTGGATTCTATTTATTGGTCGTGCCGTGCAAGGAGCAACGTTCTCGAAAACGGATATTACTTTCTTGGAGCACATGAAGACAGTGGATTCTGTTTTTGCATGGCCAGCAATACGCCAGAAAGCTTAGGTAATTTGGTTGCGTTGTCAAGGACAGTGGATTCTGCTTCATTGGTCATGCCGTGCGAGAAGTAATAGAAGTTTTCTCGAAACACACGAAGACTTGTAAGGTTACTTCTATCTTTGCCTGTAAATAATAACATTATTATAAAATTCTTTAAAATCCCAGTCGGGGAATCTTTATTGACTTCAAGCTGATTAAAAATATATACTTTCAAGGGAGTACGCGGGAATAGCAGATGGATTAGTTTTAGCAATTGTGGATTTCGTTGAGGAACTCAGAGACGAAGATTGTGGTAAGTAATCTTTAAGTACCTTCTACGCTTCTTCCACATTTCTTTACAATTAACGAAAATACAATTCCATTATTAAATCTTCTAGTAAGCGGAGAAAGTTGAGGATGAAGATATGACCTTATAAGAGTTAAACATATTTTTTTTTGTCATATTTCTGGGCTTACAATATCCTACGACTGTATGGACCCACCCATATATATGGACCCCTGCAACCGATGCTTGGAAAGAGGGCATCGCACACCTACTAGAACTCTTTACAGCCTTTGTAATCCCCTTAGTTAGTTTCGAGTGGCATAACTCTGCGGTCTTTTCTTATAGATGAACATTCTAATCGCGCTTACTTCTTATTTTGACGAAACAAACATCGATGACTGGTCTCACATTGGTTGCCTCGAGTCTTTAGCAAAAGTGTGTCCAATATTCTACCTAAAAATAAAATATTGAATTTTAGCATTGTTTACAAGTACAGTCCCCGGCGAAAAGAATGGCGGTGGAAGACCGCATCTATTTTAGGCTGCGGTTTCACCACTTTCCGGATTTA